GGCTCAGAGCAGGGGCAGCCCCTTTCCCTGGAGAGGCATCCAGCAAAGAGCCTCGGCAGATCTGGTGCTGTGGCTCATCCGTGGGGCAGGGAGCGGCCCTGGGCAGCGCGTGTTGCTGCCAGGGCACTCTGTGAGCAGAGGCTGATGCGCTTTGCTTTCCTTTCCTGCATTCCAGCCACTTCAGGATCGACTACACAGGAGCAGTTGTGCAATAGGACCCAGGAGCTGAGGAAAGATGATGAGAGCAAAGAATGGCTGGTTGGGACCGTCTCAGCAGCAGGTGAGCAGTATTCCATGGTGTGGTCCCATGCGGGAGTAGGGAGCTCGTCCCAAATAGAAGGGAGCCCTTCTGGGGCTTACCAGGCTCCTGACTGCCAAAGGCCTGCCGAAAACCAAGCGTCTTGTGGTCGTGGCACAGGGAGGAGAGTCTGCATTTCTGCACTGGGCTCTGGTGGATTCTCACCTTGTGTTGGGCTGGGTCTGGGGAAACGTGGGCAGGAGCTCAGAGCTGCTGTGAGTTGGGCTGTGCAGGAGGATGTTCTGTACAGGCCAGGCCAGCAGCAGCTCTTGTGCTGGAGGGGCTTGAAGACCTCTGGCTCCCTTGTGCAGGTTCTGCCCCTGGTCCGGAGCAGCAGCGTGGTTGAAGAGGGGCCAGGAGTGGCAGTTTCTAGTGATGATGCTTCTCTCCACAGGTAAGGCTGACCAGACGTGGGTGTATGGGGAGTCCTCTCTTTGTAGTGAGATGCCCCCTGGCCCAGCCCCAGGGGGGGAGGATGCAGTCACTTCTGAGCAGGTAAGAGCCAGCTGTGACCTGGCAGCACAGGGCGCCGCTCAGCCGGTGGTTTGGGTCAGCTCTGCAGGAGGTGGGAGGTGATGGCGCCTGCGGCTGCCAGTTTCTGGGTTGGCACCTGAGCTGTTTTAGCCTTTCCCTAGGGTTTGTGCAAGACCTTGTGCATTTGCTGTGGGCTTTGCCCCCTCTCTGCTGCTCAGGGCACTGCAGGCTTCTGTGCGGTTATTTTTTTCAGAGGTTTTTGAAAGATGCACACCCCCTGTGCCTTGTGGTGTCACTTTTAGACCTCCTGATCCATCCCTAGGATGGGGTGAGCAGAGCTTTGCAGCAAAGTGAGGCTCCAGGGTGTGAAATCTGCTACCTGCAGCATGTGTCTGTTCTTTTGCCAGCAGTATTGGGGCTCTTTGCTCTCCTGCCAGGTTGGTTCTTGTGACCCACAGGCACTGGCAGGTGCTCCCTGACAAGTGACCGATGATCCTTTTGCTGGGCACTGCTGCTGCACTGAGCACCCCTGGCAGTGGGGGGTGCGAGGCCGGGGTGCCGGTTGCGCTGTGCTGGAGCAGGCCCAGGCTCCTGCAGCAGGGGTGAATGTCAGATGGAGCTCTGCTCTGACACACTGAGGGGCTGAGTAGGGCTCCCTAAGCCCAGAGAACTGCTGGGGTGTGTGTGCTGCCTGCAGAGGTGCTCCTCCACAGCATGGGCTGTGCTAGAGCTGTGCTGCAGCTTTTAGGGGGTGACCACCCCTGCATCACACTTAGAATCCGCCCTTGCCAGTCTGCAGGTGATTGGCTGTCTCAGGAGCTGAAGCATGTGAAGAGCGAGCTGGAGCGAGTGAAGGGCGAGCTTGGTACGTGGGGCTGGCTGGTTTGGGGGCTGTGGGACACCCTCAATCCAGATGATACTGCCTTCACTTGTGTCTGGAGGCTGGGGCCTGCAGCTCTGTGGGAATAGAATCATGGAATCCCAGACTGGTTTGGATTGGAAGGGACCTTAAAGCTCATTGAGTGTGCAACCCCTGCCACAGGCAGGGACCCCTTCCACTGGAGCAGCTTGCTCCAAGCCCCTGTGTCCAACCTGGCCTTGAACACTGCCAGGGATGGGGCAGCCACGGCTTCTCTGGGCACCCTGTGCCAGCGCCTCAGCACCCTCACAGGGAAGAGCTTCTGCCTAAGAACTCATCTCAGTCTCCCCTCGGGCAGGTTCAAGCCATTCCCCGTGGCCTGCCCCTACAGGCCCTTGTCCAAAGCCCCTCTCCAGGTTTATTGTAGGCTCCCAAATTCCTGGGGCTGGTTTTCCTGGGGTAGAGCAGGGCACCTGCTGCTGCCGGTGGGTCTGGGTGTGGGGTGTTCAGGATGGGCTGGGCACACACCTTGCCTCCTGCCTGCAGCTGCCAAGACTGCCCAGTGTGAAGCCTATCGCCAGATGATCTGCTCCTTGCAGGCTCGGCTCAGGGCAGCAGGTATGTTCTCCAGCTGGAGTGAGCCCTTGCCCCAAGTGGGCTGCAGGGATGCTCCAGTGATCCCTTGCCAGGGTAACTGAGGGCTGCTTGGTCGAAGCGGCACGCAGCTCGTGGCCTTCTCTGTGTGGTGGATGCTCAGTGCTGGGAACAGCAGAGCTTTGATGGTGCCTTTGCTCCCCAGGAATCTGTCTGGAAGATGCAGAAGTGGAGGAAAGCGGTGACTCGGGGAGAGCCTCACAGCAGCACATGGGAACAGAGCCACGAGAGCTACTTGTTTGCCCACCTGAGCTGTTGGACAGTGATATGTGAAGCTTTTGAACTAATTTGTTTTACACTCCTTGTATTTAAAATAAAGGTGCCTTTTTGCAGTGAGTGAGGCTTTGGTGTCTCCTGGGGCTGGGCCCTCGTGCTGCCCCATGTACCTTGTGCTGCCCACTCCTCCCCTGGGCAGACAGGGCAGCTCTGTATCCAGTGCTTCTGGTGGCTGGTTCTGCTCAGCCACGCTTGCATGAAGGAGGTGGGTGCTGGTAGATGGAGGCACGGCATGGCTCTGGGAAAGCCCTTCTGGACAAGCCCAGTGTTTCCATGTGGGATGCTTGGATGTGGTGGTAGCATCCAGGTGTCTGCCTTAAAACTACCTTCATGCTGGATGTGGGAAGAGCCAGTGGTGGTTGGTGGCACAATGGGCTTCTGCAGCCACTTAGCTGCTATTTATCATTTCTTAGCTGGTGGGTGCAGGTTTGGGGGAAGCAGCTCTGGGGACTCAGTCCCTTACTGTTCCTGCCTGCCAGTACTGGAGGCCCTGCCCTGCTGCCTTCTCTCTGGCAGGTTGATGCAGTCTGCTTGGTGCACTGCCTCACCTCTGGGTGAGACCCTGGAGACTCTGGCTTGGCTGGAGCTGGCAGCATCCTGAGGGTGGGCTGTGAAGACCAGCCTGCTCCTGCTCCCTGTTACCTCTGGCTGCTGTTCCTGGCTGCCCTGGAATGCAGCCTGTGCCCATTCCAGGGGTGGCTGCAGTGGGATGTTCCATCTGCTCTCCAAGACCTGCTCGGTGCTTGGTTGCCAAGGCAAGCAGCTCTGGTGCACTCTAGTGTGCTGTACCCTCTTTTTACGTGCATGTTAAAGAGAACTTGGTGCAGGTACTAAGGGAGACAGCTAGGAAAGGTGCCTCCCTAGATCTGTTTGTAAACAGAGAGGCACGTGTGAGCCAAGTGGCGGTTGGTGGTTGGCTTGGTCACAGTGACCACAAAGTGGTTGAGTTTCAAAGAATTGGTGATAGGAGGAAAACTGCCATCAAAACTTCGACCCTGGGCGTGGGGAGAGCAGATGGCAGCCTGCTGAAGGAGCTGGTTGGACCCCTGCAGTGTGGGCCCTGGCAATTGGCTTTTGAAGGTATTGGGGAACAGGAATGCTGGTCACTTTTTAAGTGACCGTACAGCCTGGCCTGCAGTGTCTCCAGGGATGGGGCAGCCACCACCTCTCTGGGCAGCCTGTGCCAGCATTTTCCCATCCTCACTCTACAAAGTCTCTTGCTCACGTCCAGCCTCAATCTCCCTCTTTTAGTTTAAGCCCATCACCCCTCGTCCTGCTGCAACAGCCCCTGCTGGAAAGTCTCTCCCCATCTCTCTTACAGGCCCTTCCATTGCCTTCAGGTCATTTTGCCGAGTGGAGCCTTTTTGCCTCCCCAGCCCTTGTGTGTGTGCCCGCTGCCCGCTCTGCTCTCACAGCCCTTTGCCTCTGGTGCTGCCCGCGCGGCCCCGGCCGTGGCGCTGGAGCAGAGCCCTGCCCGCGGTGCCGGGCTGGGGCTGGCTGCGGGGGCTGCTCCCGACCCGCGGCCGCTGGGCTGCAGCAGGAGCCGGTCTCTGGCGGCCGCGGAGGACGCTGCCAGCTCCCGGCTGCTCCGCCGAGACGCGTTTCCCACCGCTCGGCGCCGCCTGTTGCTCTCGGAGCTGAGGAGGCTGCAGCGGGCCTGGGCGATGGGGCAGGACCCCCCCGCTGCGGGGGCCGGGGGGCCGGGGCAGGGTCTCCCTCACGGCAGCGGGGCTGGCTCTGCCCTCCCGGCACAGCCGCCTCCTCCATGGCTTTTCCCAGGGAGCACGGCGGATGTTCGTGACAGGCTGAGGGCCGGGATGGAGCAGAGAAGGCTCTGTAAGGGGAGACTGAGATGAGCTCTTAGGCAGAAGCTCTTCCCCGTGAGGGTGCTGAGGCGCTGGCACAGGGTGCCCAGAGAAGCTGTGGCTGCCCCATCCCCGGCAGTGTTCAAGGCCAGGTTGGACACAGGGCCTCGGAGCAACCTGGTCCAGGGAAGGTGTCCCTGCCCGTGGAGGAGCTTTAATGTCTCCTCCAACACAAACCAGTTTGTCATTCTATGCTTCTATGCTGAGCCGTGCTGACCCCCCGCTCCGGTGCCGTTTATGCCTCGTTTCGTTAAAAGAACAAACCTCAGTGACTGGAGGGCGGCCGAGCACGGGGTACCGGCGGGGCTGGGAGGGGACGGGGCTTGTTCCGCTCGCCCAGCCCTTGCCCCGAAGCGGCGGGCGGGTCTGCGGCGAGCCGGGGGCTCGGGGGCATGGCCGAGCGCCGGTGCCTGTTCTTCATGCTCGGCTGGGGCGCTGCGATCCGGAACCCGGCGGGCGGAGCCCGGTCCACGCTCCAACCCCTTCGGCAGCGGCGGCAGTCCCGGGGCGAGCGGAGCGGAACCGCACCGGTACAAGGCGAGCAGCGCCACCGGTGAGTCGCGGCGGGCGCCTCCGGCGGGCCGGGCGCGGCCTGGCGCAACCGGTGCTGCGCTTGCATCAGCCGCCGCCCGCACGTGCTGTACCGGTCCCCTTCTCCGGGGCAGCGCTGGGCTCCCGGCGGGATGGAGCGTGGCTGGGAGCTCCTCGGGGCTGGAGATGCCCCCTCGGGTGCTGAGTGGGGTGGGTCCCGAGGGGGATTGACGGCCCCCGGGTTGCGGCGGGGTGCGGTGAGTACCGGGGTGCGGTGGGTACAGGGGTGCGGTAGGTACAGGGATGCCCCGGGGTGCCGTGGGTACCGGGATGCCTCGGGATGCGGTGGGTACAGGGATGCGGTGGGTACCGGGATGCCCCGGGGTGCGGTCGGTGCCGGTATGCGGTGGGTACTGGGGGGCGGTGGGTGCCGGGATGCGCTGCTTGTCGCCCGACACGTTGCCGCTCTGCCCGCCCGATGCTCTCCCGTCTTTGGTGACAACGTGGCTTCTGCGCGGCTCGGCCAGCTTCCCCGGAGCCACTCGCTTCCCCGACCCCCGCCGCCGCTTGCCCTAGGCGGGCTCCTCTGACGGGTGCTGGGGGTCTGGGTGTTTAACGTGCTCGTTCCAGCGGGCAGCAGGGCCCGCGCCGTGCCTGCTCGGGGCCGTTGGAGGGTTTTTTTGCGGAAGGGCTGAGCAGGATCCCGCTGCCGGCCCCAGCAGAGATCCCCCCGCCCCGATCCCGCGCCCGCAGCGCGCAGAGATGGTTCCTTTCGGGTGTCAGAAAGGGTTGAATCCATCCAGCAACGCCGGGGAGAGCGGCAGAGCCCTCTGGGCACTTGGTGCTCCCTTGAAACCTGTCCCAGAGCTTCACATGGGCTGGGACGGCTCCTTGGGCTAGAACTGAACAGAGATTGCAGTGTGTGCCAGCAGAGAAGGTTTCGCAGAATCCCAGACTGGTTTGGGTTAGAAGGAGCCTTAAAGCTCCTCCAGCCCCAACCCCTGCCACAGGCAGGGACCCCTTCCACTGGACCAGGTTGCTCCAAGCCCCTGTGTCCCACCTGGCCTTGAACACTGCCAGGGATGGGGCAGCCACAGCTTCTCTGGGCACGTTGTGCCAGTGCCTCAGCACCCTCACAGGGAAGAGCTTCTGCCTAAGAGCTCAGCTCAGTCTCCCCTCGGGCAGGTTAAAGCCATTCCCCTTGGCCTGTCCCTGCAGGCCCTTGTCCAAAGCCCCTCTCCAGGTTTCCTGCTGCCCCTTTAGGCACTGGAATCTATAAGGTCTGCCCAGAGCCTTCTTTGGTTTGCTGGTTATGGGGAAGCCAAGCTGATGGCTGCCAATGCAAACCCCATAATCCCCCTCAGAGGAAAAGGGTCACAAGCTTATCCCCTTGTATACTGATACTGATACACACAGCTTGGTGTCAGGGCAGCCAAGTCCAGCACTAGCTCCAGTGTGTTTTGTTTCCTAGGGGAGGGAGCAGGGGGCAGGGAGAAGGTGCTGGTGGGTGGGTGGTACTGGGCACAGGATACCAGCCATGGCTGTGGGCACTGGGAGGCTGCAGCTCACTTCACCCTGTGCCAGGTGCCTGGCCTGTAGGGTGCTCATCTCCCAGCAGCTTTTGGGCACCCATGGCTGCTGTGAGCAAAGGGATGTTGCAGAGGAGAGCTGCAGCCTGCGGAGCACGCGAGGGATGTGCTCCGGTGCCGGCGCTGTGTGTGTGGCCACGCAGCCCTGCCGAGGGTGTAGCATGGATGCTGGGAGCGAAGGAGGAATGGCCACATCCCAGTGAGTCAGCCAAACCCTCCTCTGGAGGAATGCTGCTCCTCTGTGCCACTGCTGCTGTGTGTGCCCACGCGCCGGGCCAGAGGGATGCGCCAGCAGCAAGTCTGGGCTGAGGGATCTCCAGGCAGCCAAATCTGTGGGGAGTTGCTGGGAGACAGTGGGCGAGCCCTGGGATGTGCCCGGGGGCCATGTGGTGGGGCCCACGCAGTGCTTGTGCAATGAGCCTGGTCTCCCCCATGGGCTCACCGGGTTCAGCCCTGGCTTGCTGCGCACGTGGGGTACACACAGCACCGGTCTCTGCCCCACCAGCGTGGCAGGGCTCAGTGCTGACTGGTCACCTGGGAGGAGGCACCGCTGCAGTGGGCGCAGCGTGGGTCCTGCAGGACACTGAGCTTCACGCTCCTATGGTGCCTTCTGCAGGGGCTTCGAGCAGCTGAGCACCACCCACGAGAGGACTTTGAGGGAAAAATGAGCAGTGTTGGGAAGAAGCTGATCCGCCGGCGCGTGGTGGATCTGAGCTCCGAGGACACGCGTTTCGCTCGCTGCCTCTCCACGCTGGACCTCATAGCCCTGGGAGTTGGCAGCACACTGGGGGCTGGCGTGTACGTGCTGGCTGGGGAGGTGGCCAAGGATATGGCTGGTCCCTCCATCGTCCTCTGCTTTTTGGTGGCTGCTCTCTCATCGGTACTGGCCGGACTCTGCTACGCAGAGTTTGGGGCCCGCGTCCCCAAGACTGGCTCTGCCTACCTCTACAGCTACGTCACCGTTGGCGAGATCTGGGCTTTCACAACTGGCTGGAACCTCATTCTCTCCTATGTGATAGGTGTGGGACTTGGCTGAGTGCTGGCACGTGTGCTTGGGCTCCTTCCAGCACCGCACTGGCAGTGTGGGGGGCTTGTGGGCCAGCATGTGGTGCTGTGGGTGCTGTTTGTGGGGTGGGATCAGTGGGGAGGTGGGTGCTGGGGTGGCTGGTGCTGCTCCGTCCCGGGCTCAGACTGATGCATGGATTTGCCATTGAACAGGTACGGCCAGCGTGGCTCGAGCCTGGAGCGCGGCGTTTGACAACATCATTGACAACCACATCTCCAACTTCTTCACGAACAAGACCACACTGCACCTGCCAGGGGTGCTGGCCGAGCGCCCGGACTTCTTTGCCCTGATCCTGATTGGGATGCTCACTGGTGAGTGCACAGGGGCGGCTCTAGGGCACTGCAGGTGGTGGCACAGGGGCCCAGCAGGTCCCTGCTCACCCGTTCCATCCCCGCAGCGCTGCTCGCCTTTGGCGTCAACGAGTCTGCCATCGTGAACAAAATCTTCACGGCGATGAACCTGGTGGTGCTGGGCTTTGTCATCATCGCTGGCTTCGTGAAGGGAGACATCAAGAACTGGCAGCTCTCAGAGGAGGACTACATCAACCTCTCGTACCTGCAGCCACTGGTCAAGTAAGGAGAGCAACAGTGCCATGCCAGAGTCTGGCACAGGGCTGGCACTGGCCCTGCAGTCCGTGAACCCCATGGCAGCTGCTCTCCTCCCTCCTTTCCAGGAAAGCAGACTTCGGCTCCGGTGGGTTTGTCCCCTTTGGGCTGGAAGGGATCCTGACTGGTGCTGCCACTTGTTTCTACGCCTTTGTGGGCTTTGATTGCATCGCCACCACAGGTACTGCCGCGGGCAAGCGCAGCTGCCGGGGGCCCGCGGGGAGGATGCTCCGTGGCGTGGGAAACAGCCTGTCCTGCTGCTCCTGCGAGGTTTCCCTATCCCCAGCTGGGCCAGCACACAAGGGCTCACAGGAAAAGGGGCTCCCCACAGTGCCCGGGGTGGGAGCAGGGCTGCACCCTGCCTCTGCAGGCAGCTCCAGGACAGCGGGAGCCTTCCTGCTGCCGAGCCGAGGCCGCGTCAGCGCTGCGAATTGCTGCAGTCTCCGGGTTATTTCCCAGCCCCGTGCAGCATCTTTTGGGACTGAGTGAGCTCCGCAGGGCCCACACTGCCCCGAGGGCTCCGCCATCCCCCCCGTCCTCCCAGGAATGTGCTTCGTGGGTGGCTGGTACAGGCTGTCCTGCCTGAGCCCCTGCCGGTGCCTCCCGCCCCAGGCTGCCCAGCGGCCACCCCTGCCCCTCGTGCGCGGGTCACGGAGCCCTGGCAGGAGCACGGTGCCTCAGGGCTGCTCTCTGTGCCCACACGCACGGGGGTCTGCGTTCAGACCCCCACTCTCCAGCAGCCCCTGCCTGCTGCTGGCCAGCCCCACGCTGCTGCGAACGGCCCCGCTGCGGCTCTGACCCTGGGGCTGTGCTGTGGAGCGGGGACCGATGCTGCCTCATGTATTCACACAGGGGAGGAAGCCAAGAACCCCCAACGCTCCATCCCCATTGGCATCATCGTGTCCCTCCTCATCTGCTTCGTGGCTTATTTCGGGGTCTCTGCAGCTCTGACCCTCATGGTGCCCTATTTCCTCCTGAACAAGAAGAGCCCCTTGCCTGAGGCTTTCAAGGCAGTGGGCTGGGAGCCCGCCCGGTACGCTGTTGCTGTTGGCTCACTCTGTGCCCTCTCCACCAGGTAGGGCTGGCTCCATCCCCGGCATGGCATGGGGACCAGCAGCACGTGCCCCACTGGGGCTGGGGGTTCTGCTGTCCAGACACAGAGCTGGTCCCATCCCTGTGGACAGCTTGCCTGGCAGCCCCTGAGCCATTTCTTCCCTCTGCAGCTTGTTGGGTTCCATGTTCCCTATGCCTCGTGTGATCTATGCCATGGCGGAGGATGGGCTGCTCTTCAAGTTCCTGTCCAGCATCAACAGCCGCACAAAGACCCCTCTGTCAGCCACCATCACCTCGGGGCTCCTCGCAGGTACAGCTCCCAGCTGCTGCCCCACAGTCGGTGCCGTGGTGCTCTGGAGTTGTGCTCATGCCACACGTCCTCATTGCAGCCGTGATGGCCTTCCTGTTCGACCTGAAGGACCTGGTGGACCTCATGTCCATCGGCACGCTGCTGGCCTACTCCCTGGTGGCAGTGTGTGTGCTCATCCTCCGGTGGGTGCCTCCTCTCCTGTGCTGGTGCGCGGGGTCCGTGTGCCTTGGTTGAGCCTGGGTTGCGGCCACAGCTTTCTCCTGGGGGATGCAGCCAGGGGAAGTATCAAGGCCCCAGGGTGGAGGCTGCTCACAGGGGGTGACTGTAGTGAGGTGGGGCTGGTCTCTGCTCCCAAGGAACAAGGGATGGGACAAGAGGAAACGGCCTCAAGCTGCACCAGGGCAGGTTTAGATGGAGCTGAGGAACAATTCCTTCCCCAGAGGGTGCTCAGGCATTGGAACAGGCTGCCCAGGGCAGGGCTGCAGTCACCGTCCCTGCAAGTGTTCACACAGTGTGGAGACGAGGCCTCAGTGCCACGGGTCAGTGGTGGCCTTGGCATGGCTGGGAACGGTTGGACTGGAGGAGCTGAAAGGGCTTTTCCACCTTAGTCTTCTGAGATTCTGAGAGCCTGTGCAGTGTCTCTGGGCACATCCATGGAGTCACAGGGCTGCTGCCAGAGTAGCACCTAGGGCTGGAGGAGCAGGAGGGGTATGAGGGTGCTGCCCACCGTCCCCCCAGGCTCTGCTGCACTTCTCCCCTGTGTTCAGGTACCAGTCTGGGCAGCTGAACTCCCCGAAGGCTATGGAAATGCTGGAGCAGAACGGGAATGAGGAGGAGAGGGTGATCATGAACCCGACCGTCACCACCACCAGCGCCCAGCAGAAGGAGACGCTGTCCCTGGCGACGCTCTTCAACCCTCCCACGGACACCCCCACCGCGCTCTCGGGGCGCATCGTCTATGTCTGCGTGTCGCTCATAGGTGTGTGCGGGAGCCGGCACCTGAAGCGCTCGTCTGCCAGGGCTGGGGCTCCGCAGAGCCAGGAGGGGACCTTGCGCATGTCAGGAGGAGGAGAGGGGCTGGGCAGCCCTGACTGCCAGCCCCCGTGCGCAGTGCCAGCAGGCACCGGACCCACTGAGCAGGGTGCCAAGCGCAGGGCGTTGCTGGGGTTCGGGGTGCACGCGGGCTGATGGAAGACATGGCTGCTGAGCCAGGCATGTGCAGGTGGTCCCTGTGACTTGCCTGGCCCAGCTGGCACCCAGTAAGGTGGCCTCAGGTCCCTGAGAGCACTCGGGCTCAGCCAGCGAGGTTTGATCCATCCAACAGCGTTTAATTGTGCAGCCAGGCCTGGCAACACTTCAGAGCTGGGTCTGAGCTCAGCCACATGCAGGCTCCCCTCCTTCCTCCAGCAAAGCCCCTTCCTGAGGCTTTGGGGTGGGTGTAGGAGGCAGCACATGCTGGACCTGACCGGGAGCAGTGGGTGCCTCAGCCCTGCCACTGGTGAGGCTCAGGGTCCCACGTGCTGTGCTGCCCCTGACTGCTCCCTCTCTTGCAGCCACGCTGATCACCATCATCTGCGTGGTGCTGACCCTCGAGGTGTCGGCACTGAAGGCCGGCAGCGTGGGCTGCATCGCGGCACTGGCACTGCTCATCGCGGCCCTGCTCATTCCCACCATCATCATTTGGAGGCAGCCACAGAGCAACGCGCGGTTGAACTTCAAAGTGAGTGCAGCTCAGCACCCCCATGGGCCCTGCAGGATTTGGGCCATTGCAGGGTCTGCCAGGGCTTGCGGCAGTGTCAGGTACCGTGTCTTGTCCCTTGCAGGTACCTTTCCTCCCCCTCCTGCCAATTTTCAGCATCTTTGTGAACATCCTGCTGATGGTACAGCTGAGTGCTGGTACTTGGGTACGGTTTGCTGTCTGGATGGCCGTGGGTAGGTGTCCTGCAGAGGGGAGTGCGGTGCCTGCCGGGTCTCCCCTGCACTGCACATTTCATTGTGGAAACTCCTGCAGGTTTTATGATTTACTTTGGCTATGGGATCCGAAACAGCGTGGAAGGGAAAACCGCGGAGGAAACCTGCGCCGCAGGAGAAAAGCCTCTGCACCAGCCTGCACTGAACTCTGGCCCCAGCGCTGCTGCAGTCTGAGGGACCAGGCACCGGCACTCCAAGGACCTCGGCCAGTATTCCCGCTTTGAGATACGGTACATCCATCCCCCCTCCCACAGGAGCAAGTCCCAAGAGCCAGGACCAGGGAGCCAGGTCATGCATTGCGCATTCCCCTCTCAGAGTACAGGTACCAGAGATGAGCTCCTGGTCTGCCCCCCCCATCCCTGCTGAGGGCAGTGACAATGGTGCGGCTCTGTTTGTGCTGTCTGTCTATGTGGCTATGGTCAACACCTCCTCTCTGTGCTTTCCAAGCACCAGGCTGTGCAACAAGGCCTGGGGCCGCTCATTCTGGTACTGCCCAGTGCTCCCCGGCAGCACCGAGCTCAGCTTGTGAATCCATCTCTTGTGCCATCCCATAGAATCATAGAATCATAGAATAGTTAGGGTTGCAAAGGACCTTAAGATCATCCAGTTCCAACCCCCCATGCCACCTCACACTAAACCAGGTCACCCAAGCCTCTGTCCAACCTGGCCTTGGAACACCAGCCTCTGGCAGACCTGGCCTTCCAAATCAAGTCCCATGTTCTAAATACTCAACCCCCTGACTATGGCTCCACTGTTCTAACCATTTATTAACCTGACAAATCCACCTAGCCTTTTTAGGTCCTCCCCTTTATCCGGGAGAATTGATGAAAAGACAACCTGAGCTCCAGAGCCCCTGACCACCTCTCCCAGGGCTCTGTAGTCCTTCTTTATGTTCTCTGGGCTACTGCTATCTGTATCACTAGCACCCGCATGGACCTTTAGTAGTGGGTAATAGTCAGTGGGACTTAACTAGAGCAGGCAGCCTCTCTGCAACATCCCTGATCTGTGCCCCAGGTAGGCAACACACCTCCCTTGAGATGGGGTCAGGCTGACCGATGGGTGCCTCTGTGCCTTTCAGAGTGCCTACCACTATGACCCTCCGCTTTTTCCTGGCAGCACCAGTAGAGGTCTTTTTTCCCAGTGCACCAGCCGGTTGCTCATGCTGCGAGGGTGTTTCCTCGTCAGCCCCCTGCAGAACTGCAAAGCGGTTCTTGGTGAGGACATCAGATTTAAGGAGAAGCCCCTTGCTTTTAACTGTCCTCTTCCTGCTTTTTTTGTTGTTTTTTTTTTTTTTGTTACTATCTCCCAGCTTCCTGGGTTAACGGCCTCCTTCTTTCCTGCATGAGCTACAATGGACGCTTGAGGCCCCTGCAGTTTGGGCCTGGAGCAAGCAGTGCTGCTTCCTCTCAGCTTCCCTGACATCTTGCAGCCTATCAGTAGCATCCCTCAGCTCAGCCCCTGCTGCAGGAGGACCTGCACCGGGGAGCACCGAGTGCAGCCCTGCCCATTTGCACCCTCCCCTCAGGAGAGCAGTGCAGGCACTTCCTGCACCCTGAGCTCCGCGCTGCAGGCTCCCCTCTCACCGGCTCTGTCTGGTGCCTACGCTGGCCACCGCCAGGGCAGCCCGAGCAGAGCTCCCAGAGCGGGCCCTGGTCCTGCAGCGAGTGCTCCCCATCCCGCCCGCTCCCGTGCAAGCTGCTGTGCCATGCCCTGTTCACCCGCCCTGCCGCCGCGCTCCCTGGGGTGGGCTTTGGACCAGTCAGGGCTGGTGCTGTCCATGCTGAGCCCCGTGCTGCCTGGCAGTGCTGCTTGGTGTGAGCGCCCAGCTCGGGTGTGTGTGAAGATGTCCACAGTGTAGCAATACCGGTATCCAACCTCATATGCCTCTGTAGAGCTGATACTTTAATATTGACTTTTATACCTATTAAACTAAATGTTTTTTTTAAGTGCTTGGCTCTTGGTCCTGCTGCCTCCTGTGTTAAAGCCCCGTCGTGGCAAACCCCTGGGCAGGACCTCACTTGCTGCCAGGCTGGGTGCTGAGCTGGTGCCACTGCAGAGTGGGGATTGCGGTGCTGGGTCAGCTCCCTGCCCAGACCCTGTCGCTGGGAGAGGGAACCATGCAGCAGTGCTCCAGGAGAGCTGAACTCAGTGCTGCCGGCACCGCTGTGCAAGGACACCTGGCACAGGGGTGGTCACCACTGTGTCACTAGCTCCCAGGGAAGTGGTGGCAGTGAAGGTCTTGGGCATATCCCCTGGAGGCTCCAGCAATGGCAGAGGAATGCCAAGGAAGCGTGCCAGGAGCTGGGCTGCAGGCGTGGGAGATGATAATTCCTCAGTTCTGCTCTGGTCTAAGTCAGCCCTGACGGATGATTTTGCAAACCAGACTAATTCAGGGCAGATGGATGGTGCGTGGCTCTGGCAGCTCCCTGTTCGCCGGCAGGGTCACCGCACGGTCAGCGGTGCGGGCCCCGCGCCATCGGCTCTGCCTGTCCCCGGGGCTGGAGCTGAGCCTGCCCTGCGCCTGTGCCCGCAGCAGAAGGGGCTGTGGCTCAGGGTGCCCTGCCAGGGGCTCAGCCTGCAGCCCTCGAGCGCTGCGGGCTCTGGCACTGGCTCCTGGCAGGCCCTCCAGCTCCCTGCTCATGCCCACGCCGTGTGCAGCCCTGGTCCCACCATCCTGCGGGGTGGGGATCTCCTGGCTGGGCAGCTCATGAGCCCATAGTCCCCCTGTAACCCTGGACCCAGCTTTGGGTGCTGCTGTGCAAGCCCAGCGGTCGAATTGCCCATGACAGGGCTGCAGCCCTTGCCCCAGCTTGGCACTGCTGCAGCCCCCATGCGTCTGTGTCTGGGTCCCCGTGCACGTGTGCACAGCTGTGCCTATGGCCATGTGTGGGTCTGTGCCCCGGGCATGCCCATGCCTGGCTCCAGACCATCCCGCTGAGCACCGGTCCCAACCTGGGCACCTACTGGGACTGGCAGAGCTCTGAACGTGGCCAAGGTGCTGGAAGCCCAGGTCCCCCCCCAGCAGTCAAGCAGGGGAGCAGCCCCCTGCCACCGTGCTGCTGCAATGCAGTGCAGTGAGTTGGTGCCATCCTGCCGTGGGCAGCAGCCCTGTCCACCACCAGCTCCCTGCCTGGGGGGCTGCCCCAGCCCCATTCTGGAGGGACCCTGTCCCCCCTTGCCTACTGCATCCCACATCCTTCACCAGGCAGCACCTCTGCCTTTCCTGGCCCCACTGGCGTTATGGTATATGGAATCATAGGATCACAGACTGGTTTGGATGGGAGGGGACCATAAAGTTCACCCAGCTCCACCCCCTGCCACAGGCAGGGACACCTTCCACTTGAGCAGCTTGCTCCAAGCCTCTGTGTCCAACCTGGCCTTGAGCAGGGGCATCCCAGCACAGCAGCAGGCGGTGAATGGCACCCAGCTCAGCCCAAGCACATTGGCACAAGGGAGCACCCGCTCCCGCTGCCGCTGCACCAGCCTGCGGGTGGCCTGCGAGGTGCCAGTAGCACCCGGGGCTCTCCCGTGCAGAGAGGGGCCAGAAGGGAAGCGTGTTCCGGGTGAAGGATCTTGGATGCTGGGGCTGCAGGGTGAGTTTTCCCCTCCAGTGGCACTGTGGAAGCGGCCATTCCCGGTGCTGAGGCAAGGCAGCAATCAGCAGAGCCTGCTCTCCATGCCTGCACACAGCTGCCTGCGGTTTGCCCATCACCAGGGGAACTTCCACCCAGATCCGGAGCAGAGGCTGTGCTCTGCCTGCTGCCCGCGCTCAGCCTCCCAGGGGAGCCCTGCAGGGAGCCAGGCAAGCCTGGAGCTGTTCTGCCTGCGCCTCTGCCTCTGCTGCCAGCTGTGCAGAGCGGGCACGGGCAGGGGCAGGAGCACAGGCAGGGCTGGCGCCTGCTCCTGCGCTTTCCTCCTGGCTATGGTGCCGCTTGGGAGGCTCCCCTGGGAGCCAGGCTTGATTCCTGATCTCCCTTTTGCCACCTGCCCTGGTTTACAGGGGAGCTGAAGCGCTGCTGGCTGGGACTGCGTTTGGCCCAAGCCGTGGGCACAGCGCTCCCTCTGGGAATTCAGGCTGCTGCTCCACGCTGAGGAGTTAAAGAGCTGCCTTCTTCCCTGCGGACCGGTGAGCAGGTACCCTCAGATCCTCCTCCCCACGGGTGACCAGCCAGGGGAGCAGAGCTTTGCAGTGGGATGCATCCATCAGCAGGGCCCAAGCCCCAGGATGCAGGGAATGCCCCAGGGGCAGACGGGGTCCTCGGTGCGACAGGGCGAAGCGCTCAGTGCTCTGTTTGCTGCAGGCCCTGCCTGCCCAGGGGAGCCTCGCGAGATCAAAGCGGTGCTGGGGAGATTCCTATCGCTCCTTACTCACCATCTCCGGGCAGGTCCCAACCCCTCAGCTCACCGTGACCCCGCTGCCGGCACCGGGCACTGGCAGGAGGCTGCGGGTGCCTGATCATGCTCCCAGCCCACGCCGCCGCAGGTGGCAGCTCCCCATCACCCCTTCATGCTCCCCTCGCTTTGCCTCTGCAGGCCTGGCTCCGTGCCCTGCTGCCCGCCTCTCCTCTCCTGCCTCGCCAGGGCTGCCGCCGGCGGCCCGGCTCCCGCTCCTGCCCCAGCCGAAGGGCAGGGTCTGTCCCAGCCCGGCCCAGGGCTGACACCGCTGCGGTGACGGCGATGACAACGTGCCTGTGCCCAGCGCCCGCGCCCCTCAGGGCTCCGAGTCCCTCTCGCAGTGTATCCCACCCGCACCCTCCCCACCGCGGGGACGAGCAGTGTGGAGAGGAGACGGTGGAGGCGGCACGGGGAGTGCAAGAGGAAGGGTCATGGTGCAGCAGGGATGGGGAGGATGGAGATGCCTCGGGTGCAGGGCATGCGGGTGCCACAGGCTGGGTGAGAGGCCCCAGCTCAGTCAGCATGGACCACAACACCCTTTGGAGCTGTGCAGCCACCCCAGCACGGCACATGGAGCTGATGGTGGCTCTGGCAGGGGAGGAGATGGCTGGGAAGAGGACTCTGAGCAAGCTGCTCCAGTGGAAGGTGTCCCTGCCCGTCGCAGGGGTGGAGCTGGAGGAGTTTTAAGGTCCCTTCAACCCAAACCAGGCTGGGGTTCCGTGATTAATTTCCTGGGGTTGACAGTGCCCAGCCACGTGAGCTGGTCTGCTCCTTCTGTGGGGGGCAGGACAAGGCAGCCCAACTCATCTCCCAAGCACTGTGATGCCAAGCATGGTGGGCCTGGCTCGGGGGTGCATGGCAAAGGGTGGGATCCTGTATGACACCAGTGGGAGAGGAAGGTGATCTGGGTCTTCTAAGGGCACGGGTGGCTGGAGAGCACCATGATGATCATGCTGCTGTTCCTCTAAAGTGTGCTCTTCCTGGATCAGTGGATTCTGACAGCTGCTGAGGCAGCCCGCCCAGTCAGGTGGCTTTGAGTGTGGTGTGCCTGAGAGAAACTGTGGCTGAGGAGCCTGAGGAGGAGCATCGTTTCCTGGCCAACCTGCTCCGCTTGATTAAATTCTCTGTCTGGGAGGAATTATGTCACAGATCACAAGGGATCCAGCAGAAACTCACTGGAGTCCAGTTCCTGATCCCCCAGGAAGCCTGAAGGGTGGGTTAAGCTCCTTTGATTGGTGCTGGCGTGAATTCAGCTCATTACAGAAAGAGCATGGCTGCTGTCCAGGGAAATGAGGGCTCTGCTTCCAGCGCGCCTTGGAGAGGCAGCCATGTGCTTGCTGCTGAGCTGCACCCCGTTTCTCTTGGGTCTCACCAGGTCTCAGTCTGTTGGCTTGGCACTGCCCAAGCAATGTGAGGACAAAGGGGTTTCTCTCATAACAGGACCTTTGTGTGCTGGTGAAAGGTGGCTGGAAGGCAGCCCTGGAGCCTGAGTCTCCAAGGCACAGGGTGAGCCCCGGACAGGAGCTGGGCCAGGATCCTTGGGAATGCTCTTGGCAAGGACACCTTTCAGCCCATGGGGGTACCTACCCATGGCAGCACAGAGAGCTGCGAGCAGCTACTGACTTGTGAGCTTTCTCATCTCTCTTTGGTTCTGCCTGGGATTACCATAGGAGGAGGAAGGGATCCTGACATTTGCTGTAGATATAGTATTTGAGGTGGATTCTTTTTGGCAAATACATGTATTTGAATAAAAGTCAACACAAATCTCTTTGCAAAGGTTATGTTGAAAGAGGAACAGTGCACAGATTGCTAGCCCTGGTTTGGGACTTGCTGAAGGAGACACTCTTCCTCCAGACTGAAGTGAGTGGAACAAGATCTGTGTAAAGCTGAAATCACAGCATCTCACAAAACCGGGGACAGATGCCTCCTGCAGTCATAAACCAGCCCAGGCACCCGCCTCAACAGGTTCCTCCATGTTCTGTCAGATACATAGGACTGATGTGTCCAACAGGCCACACCAGGCTCTTCCAGGAGCAAACTGAAGCTTGCCTTACTTTTCCCTACAGCAAACACAAGAGACTCCTTTGCTAATCCAAGAGTTTCATGGCTGGGACCTCTCCTCTTTATTTTTCCTGTTTCCCTGCTGTTTGCCCAGGCAAGTATTCCCTCTGTAATTCACATTCTCCACAGGGGACCTCGTGCTGATGCTGCTTTGCCAAGCTGGACAGATGACTGCTGGTAGATTTTGCTCTTGTCAATGTCCTGCTCCTTTCACTCCACCTCTACCTCAGGAGCAGGGCTCTTCTCAGCGCTGTCATTGCTTCAACCTCCTGATGACCGAACATGCACCTCCCTCAAAGGCTGTGACAGTTGTCTGGGCTCTGCAGCCTGACTGCTAGAACAGGTAGGAGACATTTCAACAACCTAAATGTGAATACAGTTATCAAGACCTGGGGGTAAGGAGAGTGCTAAACTGAACTGAATTATGTGCCTGGGCTGCAGATGGGTGTGCAACTGTTTCTATTGTCTTGGATGAGATAATGCCTGAAAAATCATGATTACACGTTACTGGGCAGGGAGCAGCTGCAATTATCTGCATAACACAACCCCAGTGCACAGGCAGGATTTCACTTCCCCAGTGGAGTTACCTGCCCAGCTTTGGCAACAGCTCAGGCAGGTTTTCATCTCCTCTGGACCACTCTTTGGACCCAAAGAACAGGTTCTTAGGTCACGTTCTTCTGAAAAGGGGAGGAAAGCCCATCAGAAACACAGGGAAGGGAGCTCCTGGTTCCTCGCTCTCTGAAGCGCACACTGGGCCCTTGGTTTGCTTTAAACACTCCTCTGATTGTGGAACAGGAGATAGGATAGGGAAAGTTCTAGAACCTGCTGGTGTGAAAAGTAAGGACTTGCCTTCCTCAGAGCAGCCATGCACTTCACAAACAGCTCCTGGTGACAGGCAGGAATCTACTCACCCCTCTGGCAGCTGTAATCTCTCCACATCTCGAGGTTCTGGTGAGGTCAGAGACCAGGCAGATTCTGCTTCTTGTCTGAATTCCCCCACTTCTTTCTCCAGTTTCCTGTCTGAAGGACGAGCTGCTTGGTCAAACCCTTCCTCTTCTTCCTCCTCTCTTACTGATGATATGGGCCTGTTGCCCTCCTTGTCCACTGTCTTTTTTCACTACTGGGACAAACTTGTTGTTTGGGCCCCTATCTCGACCCTGGTGTCCTCAGGTGCAGTTTGGGTCCCAATCTCTACTATCATGTTCTCCGATACAGTTTGCACCCCAGTCTGTCAGGATGCTCAGAGGTGGTTTGGGTCCCTGTCTTAAGCATGGTTCTCTGACAGTACTGAACAGTGGCTCAGGAGGCACAGGCCAAGCGCCAGTACAGTGCTAGGAGACGCTGGTTTCACAGGGGTAGGCAAGGCACCCTCCTGTCAGCTGGCCCAGCAGCTTGCCAGGGTTACTTGCCTGTTCAGTTATGAAGTCCCAGGCTGTGAGAGGTGATACCTGCCCAAACCCTTCTGCACGCCCTGCACCCAGAGACCAGCCACCTCAGGGCACGCTCCAGTATTGCCTCACCCAAGGATGACCAGATTCCACAAACCCCATAGCGTGTTAGTGGTATCAAACAGCTTATGTAAGGGTGAGCAAGGACCCCAGGAGCCTGTGTAATAAAACCACCCACATGAATCCCAGGTAGGAAGAGGCAGATGTATTCCCTCATCCTTTCCACACAGGAAGGCACCAGTGCCAGGGCAAAGCACAGAGCCATGTTTGTACCAACACGTTCCCAAGTCAGCAGTCAACAAACTTGGTGAGCCGCACAGAGGCTTGGTCCTGAGTAACTGCTGCAGCTATAGCCCGTGAGGTACAGAACTGCCCTTGCCTCAGGCCTCACGTTAGGCACCAAAAAGGACAGCAGTGGGCTGCCCTGGGCTGCTCACCAGATGCCCACCAAGCTGCTCCCCTCTGCTCCCAGGACAGAGGGGAAGAAATTAAGATGGAAAAGAACTTGTGGATCAAGGTAAAGGCAGTTTAATAAAGCAGAAACAAGGCTGTGTGCAGAAGCAAAGGAAAACAGGAGATTTATTCTTTATTTCCCATCATCAGGTGACGTCCAGACAATTCTCAGGAAATAGGGCTTCAGCAAGCATAGTAGTTGCTCCAGAAGACAAACGTAGTAACAATGAATATCCCTCCTCTCCTCCTCTTAGCTTTCCCTGCTGAGCAGATGTCATATGGCATGGAGTATCATAGAACCACAGACTGGTTTCTTTTGGAAGGGACCTTAAAGCTCCTCCAGCTCCAACCCCTGCCACAGGCAGGGACACCTTCCACTAGAGCAGCTTGCTCCAAGCCCCTGTGTCCAACCTGGCCTTGAACACTGCCAGGGATGGGGCAGCCACAGCTTCTCTGGGCACCCTGTGCCAGTGGCTCAGCACCCTCACAGGGAAGAATTTATTCCCTTTTGTCAGTTGGGGTCAGTTGTCCTGACCCTGTCCCCTCCCAAGATCTTGCCGAGCCCCAGCCTTCTGGTGATGGAGGAATGTTGGATGTACGGCCTTGATGCTGGGGAGCACTCAGCAGCAGCAGCCAAAACACTGGTGTGCTGTCAACACCTAGTTAGCAGTACAAAGCCCAGCACTATGAGGGCTGCTAGGGGTTGAATTAACTCCATCTCAGCCAGATACATTCCAACTGTTTATTTAAAACATTACAAGCCACTTTTAACAAAATCACAACGAACACTGAGGATCTGAAAAGCCACACAGCACTTTGGGCATCACAAAGATAAATGCTCTGCAGGCCCTGACCAACCCAGGGGCTAAATGTGCAGACAAGCACCTCCAAGAGGATGATAATACCTTGTTCCACTTCTCTCAGCCAAAGAGCAATACTGCTTTGTAAGCAGGTGAGGTTGTAAATTAGAAACCCCAATCTCTTATCTACCTGTAGGTGTCCAGGCACCTGGAGAGCTCTTATGGTGTTAAGCTTTTAAGTTTCACATGAGAGAAAGCATGGCTGCAGTCACAGCTGGAAGGAAGCCACATGCTGAGCTGCAATGTGAAGACTACCCTAGCACAAGGTGTGTGGGACATGCTGCATTTCTTCTCACCCAGAATCCTCCATTTTTTCCCCTTGTTGTCCTGTACCAGCACAGAACATCCTCTCTAGCCCAGAAGGAAGGGGGAACGAATACACGTACATCCACAGACTAAGGAGGGTCACCTTTTGCTGGAACTTGGATCTCGCTCCCTAGCCCAATCCAAAATCTGAGAACAGGGCTAGCTCTGGAAGGACAAAGCCCTCTATGAGCTAGGATCCATGAGGCAACTAATAGACTGCAGGCTGATGACTCGCCTTCTGCATCTGAACGATCTTGCCAAAGCCACCTCTTCCAACATCGTAGTCTGTCCGGTACTCATCTCGCACCTGGGGCACAGCAGGAACACAGGTATTAGCATCGTGCACTGCCTGTCTCCTGCTAGGCTTCAGGATCATCACCCCCTCCTTGCTCAGCTGGTGGAGAACTAAAGTTCAGGTTAGAAGTACTTTGATTCATTTGAAATCTCTTCAAATAATCTATCAAAAAGCTGGTAATTGTGATGAAAATGGTAAGTGAGGATATATCTGATGGCTGAGGTCTTTAATTTGGACAAGCAGCAACCAAAACCGCAAAATATTTGTATTCAGCTTTGTGATCCTGTTTTCTGGATTGCCAAGCTTGGCTTCCAGGATATTTTCTCCCCTGCACTGAGGATATTTTTTTCTCCAAATCTGCAAAGGAATCTCACTTCTGCACTGGGGCAGCCCACTGGATGATGATATTAGCCTGGTAGCTGCACTGTCCCCCTCCATGCAAATCTACATAATTTTAAGAATGCTAGCTTGAATGTAGGTGCCATTCTGCTTGCATTGCAGGAAGTTTGGAGTCCTACAAAGAAATGCCCTTAAGTTCCATCACTAGCTTTTAACACCAGGCATCAGTTACTGAAACAACCTGGGAGTGGCTAAAGTTCATCGTCAGGTCTTTACAGCCTACACACTCTTCTGCATGACACAAAACTAGCACACTCTGAGGGGGATCAAGTTCAAGGTATGAACTGGGATTGCCTTTACCTGTCCTCCAGTCTTTCCTCTTCCATACTGTCGCCCTTCCTTAAACCCTGCATCCCAGTCAGTTCGAATGATGCGGTCGTCCAGTCGTGTGCCGTTGACAAAGCGCATGGCATTCTCAGCATCTGCTCTTGTGTAGTACCTGGAGCATACTATAAGGAGAAATAAGCACTCTTTCGTTGGGTACAAGGATAATAAAAGGAAACTATTTTATCTGAGAGGCAGAAAACTCATGCCTTCCAGCTCTTCCTTCTCAAACTGCTCTTCTCTATGGGATCAAATACTGTATTCATATAAGCCCAAGCTGAAAATAGCTCCCACTCGACCAGGATTCTGAACGTGAATTCTAGTACCTGCACAGACAAGAAGTAGCTTAGGATCGCTTATTTCTAAAGTAGATGAAACAAACATGTCAAAGCTTTGCTAAGGGCAAGAAACCTGTAAAATGTCTCTTATACTCTGTGAAACTTGACTGAGTTTGAACACGAGGGGCAGGCCTCACTGGAGAGCAAAGACAGTTCAGGGTATGACTTGTACAAGCGTGCACCCTCTGCCTGGGAATGCTGCCATGGCTTACCCTGCTACGTCGCTCAGGTCTAAAGTTAAGGTGAGAAAGTGAACACGTGCCCTGGCCAGGCAAGAGCTCAGGGAGGAACCCGAGGTGGCAACCACGCACACGGGCTGTCTGCGGCAGGGAACCGCAAAGGATACTCCACAAAGCAGAAGCCACAGGGGGTTTTCTTGATCTTGTCCAGCCCCATCACAATCCTCTTGACGTCTCCGCACTTGGCGAAGAGCTCGTGGATCTGCTCCTCGGTGGTGTAGAAGGACAGGTTACCCACATACAGCGTAGAGGAGACCTTCAGGGACTTCTCCTGCAGCTGCCGGCTGCCCTGAGGGCGGAGGGGAGGGCGCAGAGCGGTGAGCACGGCGCCAGGCCCCGCCGGTCACCCCCGCTCGCTGCACGGCCTTGCCCCAGCCCCGCCGCCCCCCCGCCCCGGCCCCGCGGCGGGCGCACCCGGAAGTGCTGGTCGCGGTACTGGCTGATCTCGCAGTAGGAGTCGCTGTTGAGCCCGCTCAGCGTGGTGCTCAGCAGCCCCGAAACGGCGCCGCGCCCGCTCCTCGAGCCCTCTCCCCCCGCCGCCATCGCGACCACCGCGCCGCCGCCACGCAGCCCGATTGGCCCCAGCGCCCGTCGCTCGGGGCGGGGAGGCGGGGCGGTAGCGGCGCGCAGCCAATGGGCGCGCGGAGCCGTCGGAAGCGCGGTTTCGGCGCGGCCGCGGAGCCCGTCCCGGCATGCCCCGCGCCTTTCCCGCAGCGGCGGCCGCCGGGGTGGGGCGCGCGGGGCCATGGCGGGGGTGCGGCTGGCTGCCCCGGCAGGTACCGAGGGCGGGCCCGCGGGCCCCGCCGCCCGTGCTGGGCCCTCCCTCGCCTCCCCGCTCCCGTCCTGTGTTCAAGGGCTGGTGCGGGAGCTGCTGAGGGAGGAGGCGCCGGCCCGCATCGCCGCCCTCACCGAGGAGTTGTTCCAGGCGGCGAGGAGCGCCCCTGAGCAGGCCGGGGGAGCGGCTGAGCTGGAGCCGCTGGTTCCCTGCCCGCCCGCGGCAGCGCTCGCCCAGGTTGGTGGCCGGGGGCTCTGCCTCTGCGGCCCGGTTGAACCCGTGGCTCCAGCGCTGCGGAAAAGTGAACAGAACGGGGTTTGCATCTCTTCAACCCGAGAGCTTGGAAGGCCGAAATAAAGTGGAAAGTGTTGTGCAGGCACCATGTTCATCGTAGGTGTGAAAGTGCATAATGACGAGAGGCGTTACTGGTACCGTGGTGATGTTGAGCGGTTTTGTTACTCCACTTTTCTAGTAGTGTCTGGTTGTAATTTCAAGTCCAAACACAAGCAGGGAGCGCTGTGCACTGAGGTGTTGGTACTGGATGAGGGGAGAGGTCTTGCTCACCCTGTGCGTGGATTCCCATATCAATAGTGGGTGCTTGAGGAAGAGGCTGCCCCATCCCTGGCGGCGTTCGAGGCCAGGTTGGACACAGGGGATTGGAGCAAGCTGCACTAGTGGAAGGGGTCCCTGCCCGTGGCAGGGGTTGGAGCTGGATGAGATGTAAGGCCCCTTCCAACACAAAACCGGTCTGGGGTTCTGTTACTTGTTTCTTCTAGAGGAGTTCTTTTAAAACAGTAAATGTCAGCTTCAGAAGGTTTTTCTCTAAAAGGGCAGTACATAGTTCTGAAATAAAAACAAGGCTGGTGGGATATTGCCCAGCCTTTTCCTCCATAGTTGTATCTTGGAAGGAGATTTAACTCGGAGCAATTACTGTCAAAGCAAGCCGGATTTTAAAAGTCGTGTGTTTGTGACAGGAGCAGGACAGGCTTGCAAGTTCAGTAAACAGAAAGTAATTCTTGGTGCAGTCTGTAAAGAAATACAGGGGCATAAAACTGGTGACCTTCAATTCCTACTGAATCAGTTGGGCTGTCAGTTTGAAAGAAAGGAGAAATCATTCATTTGTAATCTGATCTCTTCAATTAAAGGGGCCATGAAACGACTCCTAGTTAGGAAAGAGCATATTTGTAGGCAAGATCTGCCGCACAGACAAGGATTAGAAGTGATGGAAATGCAACCCTTCAAGGTGGGTTTTTAAAGGAGCTTGTTGCCTTGATGTAAGACTGAATCATCTTTTTAACAAGAGTATATAGTCAGTAGCCTTTGTTCTTTGCTAAGTTTCCTGATGGAGGTATTTAAAATAATTAAACTACTTAGTTTTCTTTTTTGATAGGCAAAAGAGGTGAAGCTGTACTGCACATCCCAATGCAATGCCTGGAGCTCTTTTCCAAAACCTCCGAGCTTTTCAAGCTTGTTCAAAATGCCCATGATGTATCCTGAAAGCTGCCAGTGAATCGGTTGGGTTTGGTGATGTGCTATTGCACGCGTTTTGTGTCTGTGAATGTTGGTGAGAAAATTGGTCCCAGATGGATAGGTCATGTTTTGCTGTGAAATAGCCTTTCATAAAAGACTGGATGGATCTGATGGAATATCCCTGTGAGAAGAGCATGTGCTTCCTGCCAGCTGCTTAGGGTTCTCCTTCATGACGGACCTATGGAAAATAATGATCCATACTTTTAGCTGAAGGAATGCTGTGTGGTCTGTTTAGCATGCCTGTTTTCAGGTCACTGTCTCAGATCTCCCTGTGGGATCATAGAACAGTTTCATGGGAAACTCACACCTTTGACTCCAATGTAAAAGGGAGTTGCACAAACATGTGGGCCGGTCATTACTGTGATACACAAGAAAGAGGGCTCCTTTGCCAGTAGTAAATTTCCATGTGACCCAAATCCAGGACAAAATGGAATCTAATGGAATTCTCCTACTCAGGTTGAAGAGGGTGCAATAAGCCTGTGGAACTGGGCTGTGACCAAACACACGGGTTCTGTTGTCAATGATGAGCAAAGAGCTAAACGTATGTATGTGTTCCATACTTTCCTCAGTCTGTTTTGTGTGCTGTAGCATGAAAAGGAAACTCTTTGCTGCCAGGTGTACGTGTGGGGCTGTAGACCTGTTTGGATCTTTGCAGATAGGGTGTAGACAGAGGAAAATACGCAGCTGTCCTTGAGTAAACAGTTTAGGAAGAAACATCCCCATGTAATAGTGGTCTTGCAACAGAGGTTCAGTGCTGGTCTTCTTATTCCCCCTTTCCATGCCAGCATCAGTAAAGACGTGATGTGACCAAAGGAAGCTGTAATTTGCCTTCTGATGCTATGGTTTTAATCTAAAAATTTATGGAAAAAAAACAGATATAAATTTTAGACCGTTGGTCACTTCATTTACATCAAATGAAATTGTTTATTTAGTATAACTATCTCATCATACAGAAAAACTAAATCCTCTACTTCCCTGCCTTAGCCAGGTACACAGCTGGTGGATTTACTTGGAGGAGGGCTGGGGGGAAGCAGAAGTGAGCTTTTGGTCTTTTCCTGTTCTTTATGTGGCTCTGCAGGATTGCAGCATCTGGCCTGCAATTTTGTCTTGAGGGATTATAGTCAAAATTAGGCATAATCTGCATTATATACATTTTATCAGGTAAAGGCAAAGGGTAAGTTTACCTAAAATAAGTAGTAATTGTAGAGTGTAGTGTTCTCAGATCTTCTATCACAGCTGAAGGGCCAGGGAGAGGCTTTTTTTAAATACATTAAGTGATGTCTTTTCCACCGCTGATGTATAAGGAAGGCCTGGAAATATTTTTTGTTTTTACTTTGAAAATGTAGATTATTAAACTTCATTTCCCTGTCTTGCTGAAGGCTATTTTGAGACTCTCAAGACATGTTACTGTAAGCACCTGCAGTGTAATTAAGTCTTTTAATATCATGTATTTAACTTAAACTCTCTCTAAAGTGTGTAATAGGTGATTCTGAGAATATGTTTGTTTTCCTTACTGCCTGAAAAGCTGTTTTAAGCAACTTGGCTAAAAGTCAGACTGCTTTGACTCCTGAAGCTTTCAGATTTTCTCTCTTGTAATTTAAAGTAGCAAACAGTCTCTCAGCTACAGAGGGCCTGACTTTCTGAAGGACAAAAACCCCAAAGGAACAGTGAACTCAGGAATGTCTGCCCTGTTTTCTTGCAGTACGGTTTGTTGCCTGCAGGTTGGTGTGCCTTTGTGAAGGCAGTGATCCTCCAGAGGCAACTATCCGAAGACAGATTTTGGTAAGGCCAGTGATGGGTGAGCAGGGAAGTACAGCTGATCCCCAAGGGAAACCTTCAAACCCTGTTTGGGTTGCTTTGGAAGGGGAGTGAAATGAACTTCTGGGGAATAAACACACTGAAAGGAGAACCTGTGTTATCACAGGGATACCTTGCTGAGCCAGTGCAGTTGGCATTACAGCTTTGTCATATGGAAAAATGTTACACGAGCAGCACATTCATTTATTTCAGTATCTTACTGTCTAATAGGACACCATGTCTTATGCTGCATCTCAGTTCAGGACTTCATTCAGGCATGAGAAGTGCTTGTCAGAAAGTGGAGAGGTGAAACAGCCCTCTCTTACTTTCAGATATGTGTATCAGCGAGATGAGATCTAACATTGCCTTGAAAGTTGTTACTAAAAGTGACTACTTTCACAAAGCACATATAATTTTCTCCTTCAGATGTCTATGAAAACTGGAAAAGGATGGATAGATGTTGGAAAGCCTGATCTTGCTGATGAGTTTCTGGAGATTGCCATGAATGTAAGTTCTTTTCCAATTTTGATTTCTTATAAACACATCTCTTTGTAGGTTCCATGGGTGATGCTGCACTTTGTTTTCTAGAGTATAGAAAAACTGTATGCGAAGTTACTTGAGGGGAGCGATGGTGAAGCAGATATTCATGTGCACAAAGCTGATGTGGAGAAGCACCTCTTCAAAGTACTTTCTTATCAGGCTGAATCAGTATGTGTTCTTCCCAATTTTCCTTATAAGTCACAAGGGGTATAGAGGGAAACTCCGAGATGTATGAATACTTGGCACTGAGGACTTGCTGAGGGATATGTTTCCTTCACTTAGATGTAAGATAGCAGATCTCGTGTTTGCATCCAGTGTTGCAATCATGTAATGGTTTTTAATTTCACTCGTTTATTGCAGTCATTTCTGCTAGTTCAGATTTGTTGCTCTCTGATTTGGCTAACATGGCTGTTAGAAAGCAAACAGCTGCCTTTCTGAATCAGAAATATGTCAGTTCCAGAGGTGTCCTGTGCTTGGCTGAAGAAGGGGGATAGGGCTGGTGTAGAGCCTGGGTCCCCCAGACTGCAGTCACATAGCATGTGCGCAGCAAGGCAAGTCCCTTTGGACACTCATCACAGCGAGGCATTGTTGTGCCTGACTGAAGTTTCTGAGTATTTTATCAATGGTACAGAGTATTGCAGACATAAGAGTGTAAATAGAAAACGTAGTTACCTGCATTTGCTGGTCATGGCACTGACCTCAGTATCCAGGAGGACTGTCTCCAAATTCTCAAGAGCTTCCTTAAGCAGCCAAAGCAGTGGCCAGAATTTTTAATTTGATCATGGAGGCAAAAGGGAACCTTAAATTATTGGAGAGGTGGTTTAAGATTTGGCGAACTGTTGTAACACCTTAACATTGGGAAGAACAGGGGAGATGAAGATTAGGTACTAAGGAGAAACTCTTCCTTGTGAGGGTGCTGAGGCGCTGGCACAGGGTGCCCAGAGAAGCTG